TTAAAGTTAAAATATCTCCTAAACTATATATAATAATAGTTTTTCGTTATAAGTGATTTAATAATTTTTTATTACTTATTAATTGTAACTTATTAATTTTTATTAATTATTAATTTTTTATACACAATGAGTTATATTTATGAAATATATTTACAAAAATATAATTCTATTAAAAAATAAAGTTGATCATTAATAATCTTTAATTTAGAAAAATATTCTTTACATCATATGATATATTGATATATATGTAAAATTCATTAAGATTTATTATATTGTAATAATAATAAATTCTTTAATTATTGGAATTATGAGAAGCAATAAAACAAATATTATATTAAAAATGATATAAGAATATAATTTAATTGAAAATAGATGAATTTAAAATTAGAAGATATGGAATGTTGAAATTAATGTATGAAGTGAATTAAAAAATGAAATAGAATTTTATATATATATTAAATGTAGATGTTATAGATAATGTGTATATATTTTCTAAATTTATTGATAAAATAAACAAATATATAATATTAATTTGTTACAATGTAGAATTATTCATATCTTGTTTTAAAATTTAAAAATTAATTATATTTTATAAGTAAAAATAGTATTTAATATAAATAAGTTATTATATGGATAATTTATGGACAATTTGGACAATTTATTTATACATTATATAGATCTATATATTTATATATTTAATTCTGAATAATAGATATATGATATCTGATATTTATATACTCCTATTAATAATATTATTAATAAATGTATGTAAATTATTATTTCTTTCTTTTATTATTATAAATTTGATTAAATGAAGTCATAAAAAAGAAAAATATTTTTTATAATTTAATATTTAAATATTTTTATTTCGATTAATTCAATCTTAATTTAGATTATTATCAATCAATCTAATCTAATCTAATCAATAATCTAATAATAATAGTAATAATAATTAAAATAAATATTATATATAAATATAATATGCTATAGTAACAAATTTTTTTTCACATATTTCTTATAACGTAGCATATTGTTTTTTGTTAAATTTTTAGAAATATTTTAAAAAAATTAACATAAATATAATATGCTATAGTAATAAATTTTTTTTCACATATTTCTTATAACGTAGCATATTGTTTTTTGTTAAATTTTTAGAAGTATTTTAAAAAAATTAATATTATTAAGAAATAATCAAACAAAAATATATATTAATATATTTATATATTATATATTAATTAAGTGCAGAAAATATTAATGAAAAAATGATTCTAATTTTTTTAATTTTATTCTTTATTATTTTTCATTATAAAAATATTATATTTATTTTTTAATGATTATTATTATAACAGAATATTTTATATCATAATAATTACCATAATAATCACATTGTAATATTAATCATGCCTGATGATATTAATTGATATTAAGACTATAAAAAAATAAAATAATCTTCAAATAGCATCATATATAGATAAATGTTAAAATGTATTCCATAAATCAAATAAAATCACTAAAATTATAAATATGAGAATCATAAAAGAACATTTTCTTTATAATTTGAAAATGTATAAAATAAATAAATATAATATAATATAAAAAGTATAATAGAGAAATAATTAGTATTGAAATAATTTCATAGATATTTTTATTATTATTACAATACAAATATACAATAATGAATTAATATATTTTGGTATAAATTTAAAATATAATTTATAATAATTAAAATAAATTTATTAATATAAATATTATATAATTTATAATTTTATTATATATTTTTATTCTTTAATAATATTAAAATTTAATAATATTATAAAATTAACAGAATTTTATAAATAAATTTTGGTTGACATTAGTCATATATATCAAGAAAAGTCATATATATCATATATATCAAGAAAAGACATCATAAATATTGGAATATTTATATAAGTATAAGAATATTTATTTAAATAAATTAATAGATAATTAATAGATAATAAAACTTAATATATAAAAATATATTTATATATTTAACATCATAAAAAAATGTAATTTATGTAAAAATCTTCACTATTTGTAAAAAATATATATTTATATAAAAATTATCTTATCTATATAGTAAAATATTTTAATTAAAAAAAAAATTTCAAAAAAATTACCTGATAAATTATAGTTGTAAAACTAAATATAGTTGCTTATATTCCAAGCTTAATTCCGGGATTAATAAAAAACTGTTAGAAAATTACACCCATATATTGCAAACAAATCTATATCTATATCTATTGATAAGATTATTTGTAAAATTAATACGTTAATTTATTAAAATTTTTGCCTATCCATTATATTATAAAAATATATGAAAAAAAAATTCCCTACATTTTTAATCTTTTTATAGAATATTTTTATTTTTTAATTTTATTTATGATAAATGAATAAAATAAAAAATAAAAAAAATTCACATTTTAAAATTTTAAAATGTACACAAATCTACACTATGTACATAAATATGGCTATATGATATATAAAATTAATATAAAATTTCTTAAGATGTTAGCAAATATAAATAAATAATAATAATAAATATATTTTTATATGTGATATCGTTTTTTTATTATTTAATAAGTTTTAATATTTACAAAAATAAATACTCAAATTCATCAAAGAAAAATAGTATTTAAACTATAATATTCAGAAAAATATAAGGAGTGCCTTTATGACAATTGGGATTTATTTTCTGGTTAGAAAATTTAGTAAAAATTAAGTTACATTTATTTTCGTAATATTTTCACGAAAAAATAGCTTTTCTATAGGATTGAAATTAAATATTGAAATAAAATAACTTTTGAAACAGAGGTTCTAAAAAAGCTTAAGACATATTATATATATGTAATAAATATTTCGAAATCTAAATAAGATTTGATACAAGATATATGAAAAATATTATTAGTTTCGATATTAGATTTGATTTAATTATATTAACATTTTCTTATTAATAATTATTTCTGTAATAATTAATTTTATAATTATTCAATACTATCATTTCCAGACAAAATATCTTATATATATTTTTATTTTAAGTTCGTTTTACATAAATTGGTTACACAAAAATAATCTGATAGTTGATTCCAATAGATCTGATTTTTAATTCGTATATTGACTGAAAATGTCACGTTAATCATTTTTTATCTTTAACGATAAAACATTAAGCTAAGTTTTAATAATAAACATTTTTATATTTGTCGATGACAATAATAAAAATTTAATTAAAAATTCATTTATTTTTTAATTGTAAAATAAAATTTAATAACGCTTTTATTATATTTTGAATAATTTTTTTTAAATTTATAAAATTTTTATTAATTTGAATAAAAAATATTCTGAAGATATTTTTGTATTCTTTAGAAATAATCAATATAAATGTAATTTAAATGTAATAATCAATATAAAACATTTAATTTTATAATAATTTTAATTTATCAGCATATAAGCATATTACAGAAAATTAATGTAATATAATAAAAACAAATTTTTATGCCTTTTCGAAATATTCACGATGAATATCTATACCGCGAAATGCTCTATTTTTGTCGCAACATTTTTCATGACCAGGATGTTTTTGACAAAGATCACAACCACACACTGGTTCGCGTGGTACTTGTGGGCCGCATTTAGGTGGACAAGGAGGTGGTGGCTTTGGTTTTTCTTCACAACAACATGCTCTACAAGGATCCTATAATTTTTTTTATAAGTCATGTTTTTACATTCAAAAATTCTAATCAAATAAAAAAAAATAATTTAAAAAATATAGTATAAAAACGAAAAATTGATCACACAAAAGTGATTAACATAAAAATAATATATAAATAAAATTATTAAAAATACCTGCATTTTAATATAACAACAAGATTTAATTGGAGGACAGAAATCAGCGGGACTTTTATATTCGAATTTTTTTGTGGAATCAAATTTTTTATTATCTTCATCGGACGGTTTTAAATCATTTTTAGGTTTTTCTTCGATTTTTTTCTTTTTCATGTAAGGAGGACATGCAGATTTCTTTTGTGAAGAAGTCCAAATAATTCCAGTATTTACTAATTAAATAATAAATTATCTAAGAAAAAAACTAATTTATAAAAATTCTAAAAAATTTACATTAAAAATATAATTTACTTACAAACTTTATTCCATACACTTTTGCATAAATTTTCATCAGTCATAATTTGTTATAATTTTATATTTTTAAACAAGTTTTCAAAATATTTTATTATTTTCAAATTATTTTAGTACTTTATAAATTTTAATAATTTATTTTTTAATAGACAACCAAAATTAGGAATTATTTCATGATTGATATAGTAATGAATTTATTCGATCTTCAATCTTTTTTCGATGTTTTCTTCTGTATATATATATTTTATGAATTTTTTAAATATTCAATTTGATATTCATCTTTTTATTTCATAAATATTTTAAACAACTAAATGCTAAAACAACACATTTTGTATAAATTTTACAATAATTTAAATATTTAATTTTTAATTAGTTAATCATTTGGAAATATATTGTACAATATTATTGATGTAAACATAGTAGAAGGCTAGGAGAATACTTTCTTCTATTATTCACAGATACGCGGTTCTATATGATTTTTATGATGTAACATTTGTGGCCCATTTTCATGAATATGTTAGATTATGGAAATTAACCAATCAAATTTACATTCTTTTCATTTGTCAATTTACGAAGTTAGTTATAAGTTCATTTTATTTTATAATTCAAATTTAATAATATTTTTTATTAACATCGTTGTAATTATTACTGAGTGTTGATATGTATTAAAATTATATATATATATGATTTTTATAATAAAATTTATAATAAAATTTTTTAAATTAAAAAAAAAATAAGAAAAGAATAAGAAAAAATTAATTTTTTCATTATTTTTCATAGTATAAACAGAAAGTATAAAAATAAGTAGAATAACTATATAACTATAAAGTCAATGTTCTATTTTAATTAAATTTTGTTTTTCGATTACGTAACTAATTTTTAATTCGAAATAAGTTTCAATCAGTTTTATCACAGAAAATATAATATTTCAAGCAAAATATTATACATAAAATTATAATATTGTTAAAGTATAATATAATTATAATATTGTAATTTTTACACAATTACAATTAGTATTTTTAATTTGTAATCTATTACTGTGCATAAATTTAATATTTATAAAAAGAATGGATGATTATATTGTATCATTAGATCCTGAAACAGAAATGTTTTGTACATTATATTTATTTGAGAATGTTCAAAATTCTAATGAAATACGTAGGAAAGTTATGAATAATGAACTTTCTTGCTCTGTTATAAAAGCATCACTTATAGTAGATCCTTTCCAAATAATAATAGCTGCTAATAAAACTGCAATTAATGCAAAGATGAATCAGATTACTACAAAAAATATATATACTGAATTATTATTTAATTTATCAACTTCAAAAAATATATCACGTACATTAATAGAATTTGGAATCAGTGATAATGATAAAAATATACTAATAGTATTATTATGTAAAGAAAATGATAAAAAATTAATGTCAGAAACAATAATGAATGTTGTAAAAGGAAAAAAGATATCAATTTCAAGATTATCTGAGTTTACAGACTTTGATTTAATAAAGAAAATATATAAAATTGAAGAAGACGAATTAAATGTTTCTAATCTTATTGATTCTATTGTTTCTAGAATCAGTTGTAAGGATTTTATGTCATTGAAATGAAAATAAAATTTTTCATGAAATTATTAATGTTGTAATAAATATAAAAAATATTATAATTAATGTATCAATTTTTTTTTTAAATAAATATTTTAAATTTATCATTTGAATGATAATATGAATAATATTTTAAATAAATAATATAATTGTATGATTTATTTATTAAAAAATAAATTTTGTTAATTTATATTTACTCTTTTTTTTTATGTTTATTTTTATAAATTTTATAGCAACTTAAACACTATGATAATCAATTTTTTTTAAATATTTGATATTGAATTTCAAATTTTTAGTATATAAATATTACAATCATAATGATTCACAATATAATTAATTAATTGCAATCAAATATGATAATAGTATGAAAAAAAATAATTATATTTTGCAAGTTATACACTATTTATGATTGTACATATAAAGGATCATTATAAAAAGGACAATTGAAAAGTAGGTTTTGATAAAAGATATTTTTTCCTTTTTTTATTCACTCATAAATAAAGCCAAGTATGCGTTCAAAACAATTTATATCCGCAAGAACAAAAATTTGTTAAAACCTGCGGAAGCAAAATTGCAATTTAAGGATAGCACCCTTAAATGCATACAAAAGCAATATAATAATGAATTTTCGTTACGTATTTCTTGGTAAACCACACATTTCACACATTGCAAAATCTGCTGCATTGAGAAAAGTGCAATGTGAACAAGTCCAAAGTGTTTGATCAGGTGGTGAATTTACAATTGGATCTGTACCAACTGCTATTCCACTTCCTTCTACAAGTACAGAAGATGAAATTCTTGAGCTAGTATCAAATAATGGTCGAGATGTTGATGCTGTAGCTTCAGATATTAGTTGCTCTATTGTTGCCCATTGTTCTGAATGTGTCCACTCTATTGCTTTTTCTCTATTTTTATTACGAATTGCATCTAATAGTGATATCATGTGGTCCTAAAGAAATAAACATATATATTTTATTCTATAATAAACAATTTTTAAATAGATAAATATTTAGTAAAAAAATAACCTTCATTGGAAACATATCCATAGTTGCAATAAAAATTAACAAATGAAAATCTGAAACTGCTTCTAAGAATTGTTCTTTAGTAAATTGTTGCATATAAGAACAAAGTGAACTAAATTCCTGAATTTGTCCATCGATAAATCTATAATTCAATAAAATTAATATTAATAAAATGTAATATTTCATTGTTTATTTTTACATACCTATTTTCAATTGGAAACGGAGTAATAGTATTGTTAATATAAAAAGTAAACTGTGGAGTAAGTGGTGTGGATGCAGGTACATCTACCAATAAATATTCTACTGGCAAAGGTCTTGCTAGCCTTGACACTTCATTTCCATAAGAATCTTTTTCCTAATAATAACAAAAAAAAAAAGATGAAATGCAAATAATAACTTTTTACTACAAAATTTCGACTTATATTTTTTATGATCTATATATATTTATGTCTTATTAATATTTTAAATTTGTTTTGAAACATTAAAAATTATTGATTTTCTTACAATACTTGATAAGTAATGTTTAGAAATTGTTTTGAATTTAAAAATTTGCGATTATAATATTTTTTAAAAAGTATTAAATATTTTTATGAATCAAATAATAATACATATAAAAATGTATAAAATTAATTATAATTATGATATCGATTAAATTTAAAAAATAAAATTTAAAAGTATCGTAAAAATGAAATATAAAATTGATTGTATATTTTAGGTTAAATTAAATAATTTGGAATTAATTCTAGGTTAGATTATAAATAATTTTTAAATGTAAATCAAATTATGATTAAATTTGAATTTTTCTTATAACTCAAATCTTTTTTTATTTTATTCTTAAACATTATTAGGAAATAAAGGAATCGGTAAAAAAAATATTTGATTTCCTAAAATAGAAATTAATTTTTTATTTATATTTTGCATAAATAAAGAAAACTAAAATAAAATGTTTTTAAAACACGTTTTAACAAATGTATTGAGATATTTTTAATAAATGTTTAAAACATGTACACAATTTTATTGGTTTCAAGCAAGTACATAACGAAATTTATAAGATGAAGTATGAAGGCAGGTCCATAATATTCGTACTCAGTCGTTCGAGAAATGCGCGCGCAATCATAGAAGCCGCAGACGACACCGGTACTGTTTGCCACGAGTCGAACGAAAGTGTACAAGAAAAAGGAAAGAGAAAGACAGAAAGTTAGAACGAGAAAGAGAGAGAAGGAGGAAGCTTTAGGATTGTCGAGAGGGGGTAACATACGGAAAGAGGAGAGGAGAGCAACAGCGTAAGCGACTAGCGCGCGCTGTGGTGTGTGTCGTCGGTCGGTCGGTCGGTCGTCGCCGCCATGCTAGTGGTTAGTTTAGTGAACCAAACATCATGATGTGGCAAAACGTTCGCACGAGCTAAGACTGAAGTAACGCCGCGTTACCGGCGCGCCGTCGTTATGTTATCCATAATAACTCACGACGTTCGATAAGCGTAAACACGTAACGTGAAAAGTACAAAGCTTGATAAAAACTCCACGGCGACTGCGGCAACGAAAAACGTCGGAGTGCTCGATTCCTGCGTGCGGAACCGCACAATACTACGTCAATCCCGATGTAAATTAAAGTCAAATCATATATTCAAACGAACATTACGGAATTATCATTGTCACGGTACACGTTAGGAGTGACGAGTGCCAACGATCAGCCTCCATCGCGCGGCAAGGAGACGATCACGAATCGTATACACGGTACGGAACATTTACGCTCCTATTCAACGAAAGAAAGAGCAAGAGAGAGTATGTATACATGTGTGTGTGCGCGCGCGCTTGCATGCGTGATAAGGCATACATATGTCATGTATGTATTTTTGTGGGTTGTTGTGTGCGCGTGCGTGTGTATGCCATTGTGAGTACGAGAAAAGAGACGAATGTGTATGCATATATGTGTGTGTGTGTGTGTGTGTGTATATATATATATATATATATATATATATATATATATATATATATAAGATGAAAAGAGAGAGTGAAAGAGTAAGATTGACAAACGAGAGCGAAAATGAAAGGTAGAAAAAAAAACAAGCATGTATGTACAAACATTGTGATGATATGAGCAAGAACAAACTACAATATTCCCGCGGAATTTGCCTAACACGCAATAGTTTATAAGTCATTTTTACTTAAATGTGGACTTGTCACACGTAGTGACAGCGTAATATCGCAAAGAGAACTTGGCGATAAGCTGCAAGAATCCATATATCATATTACCGAAGGTTTTATCTGTTATCCGTATTGATATTTGAAATATTTTACAAAGTGAAGAAAAGTAAAAAATCATTCATTATCGTTTTTATTAACTTCTTTTAAAAATATTTTTTTATTAACGAATGGTAAATTCCAAAACTTTAACTATCCCTTTACATTTTGGCGGGATTTTGCACGCATGCGCGTTCTCTTATGAAATGTCATTTTTTACGTTTTAGTAATCAAATTGTTGCATAATAACTTTGCTGTTATAGTCAATGTGTCAGATAAGAAGCTAACCTTTTGAGAATAAGTTCGAGCTTAAAAACAAGGCTATGAAATAACACGATTGAACTTATGTGGCGCATCATTTTATAGCACATAAAAGAAAGAAATAATAATAAAAAAAAAAATAATGTAAAAGAAATAGATTTAATTATATTGATTTAATATTTAATTTTTTTCTCTATTTGTTTTATATATGTGTTATCATTAAAAAAAAATTTATTATCCACATGTTTAATTTAAAAAGGAAAATTTTTAGATTTATTTATGCGATAAATCGAATTGTATTAAATAATCAGATTAATATGTTAGAAACAAGAATAAATATGTACATATGTATTAATAATAAAATAAATATATATGAAATATTTATATTGTTTGAATAATATAATATAATACGAAATATGCATTAACTAATCAAAAATTTATTTCAATAAGTTAAAGTTATATTTTTCTTTTTTTATATAGTGTGTGTGTGTGTGTGTGTGTATATATATATATATATATATATATATATATATATGTATATATATAAGATGAAAAGAGAGAGTGAAAGAGTAAGATTGACAAACGAGAGCGAAAATGAAAGGTAGAAAAAAAAACAAGCATGTATGTACAAACATTGTGATGATATGAGCAAGAACAAACTACAATATTCCCGCGGAATTTGCCTAACACGCAATAGTTTATAAGTCATTTTTACTTAAATGTGGACTTGTCACACGTAGTGACAGCGTAATATCGCAAAGAGAACTTGGCGATAAGCTGCAAGAATCCATATATCATATTACCGAAGGTTTTATCTGTTATCCGTATTGATATTTGAAATATTTTACAAAGTGAAGAAAAGTAAAAAATCATTCATTATCGTTTTTATTAACTTCTTTTAAAAATATTTTTTTATTAACGAATGGTAAATTCCAAAACTTTAACTATCCCTTTACATTTTGGCGGGATTTTGCACGCATGCGCGTTCTCTTATGAAATGTCATTTTTTACGTTTTAGTAATCAAATTGTTGCATAATAACTTTGCTGTTATAGTCAATGTGTCAGATAAGAAGCTAACCTTTTGAGAATAAGTTCGAGCTTAAAAACAAGGCTATGAAATAACACGATTGAACTTATGTGGCGCATCATTTTATAGCACATAAAAGAAAGAAATAATAATAAAAAAAAAAAAATAATGTAAAAGAAATAGATTTAATTATATTGATTTAATATTTAATTTTTTTTCTCTATTTGTTTTATATATGTGTTATCATTAAAAAAAAATTTATTATCCACATGTTTAATTTAAAAAGGAAAATTTTTAGATTTATTTATGCGATAAATCGAATTGTATTAAATAATCAGATTAATATGTTAGAAACAAGAATAAATATGTACATATGTATTAATAATAAAATAAATATATATGAAATATTTATATTGTTTGAATAATATAATATAATACGAAATATGCATTAACTAATCAAAAATTTATTTCAATAAGTTAAAGTTATATTTTTCTTTTTTTATAAAAATAATAAGTTATATTGTTTACGACAAAAGAAAGAATAAAGAAAAAAGAAAAAGATGAAAAGAAAACAATATAAGAGTGAAACGTTAAACCGATTGTTATTAGGAATAGGTACATTAAATATGACCTTTATGTTATTTTTCTAAATAATATAGTACAATGAAACATATACGTACACAAACATTTCTCAAGCATGTATTCTTATTTTACTCATTATTTCTAAATTAAAATAATCTCGTTATAAAATAGTAATACGGATAATTTTTAGATATTTTTATGAATATTATAATATGAAAATGTAAGATTATAAAGTATAACTATAAAAAATAAGATTATAAAGAATAATTAATAAATAAAATTTTATTATATTTCAGATGCTGGATCCAAGTGTTCTAACAGATTTAGAGGAACTGACGCTTTGCAGTTATTGCAAGCAGAAGTATAATGATACGGAACAATGTCCGAAATATCTTAGTTGCAAGCATTATTTTTGTTTGCGTTGCATAGAAAACAATTTATTAAAGGGACGTGAGTTGTTTTGTGCGCATTGTTGGAAGAGAACGGATCTAGGTGATCAAGGACCGGACGCTCTACCGACACACTCTTCTCTCCTTGCTCTAACGAATAATTTGTCTCACTTAAAAATCACCACGAACAACACATCTGGAAAAACGAATGATAAGGAGAGAAAGGTACATGACAATGTGAACATATTTTTTTTATAAAGATTTCAAGTTCGTCAACCGGTTATTCGTATTCACCAGTTTATACACAAATGGTAAAGAAAGTATACAGTTCTGAAGCCATATCAAGCTTCTAATAGTAATAAGATTAAGTTATAAGGTCTGCAATAATTTACTATTAAGTATAATTTATACAAAATATACAAAGTATAATTTTTATATTTAAAATTGATAAATTTTTGATAAATTTTTTAACAAAATAAAAATTTATGCAGATATATATATATTTTTATTATATAAATATTAAATGTAAAATATAAAAAAAATAAAATTTATAACTATTATAATATTTTACAGAGTGAAAATTGTCATACGCACGGAATGCCTTTGGCATTATGGTGTGCGACATGTTGCTCAGCACTTTGTAGAGCATGCGCCACTCCACAAGAACACCCAGGTCACCAGATTAAATCACAAACTGATGCCAAAGAACAACTCATATCCGATGTAAGTTTTACAATTAATTTTATTGGTATATTTGTTTTCTATATATATATATATATATATATATATATAGAATAAAAATTATCTGATTTTGAATCAGAGAATGCATGATTAATATTTTTCTAGGTTCAATTGGAATTAGTTGCTATGGGAAAGCTATCGACCGAGATTCAAAGACTGGCTATGCAACAACGTGAATTCTTAATAAAAGTCTTAGAAGCTTGTGTAACGTTAAAAACGCATGTTGAGACAGATCTTCAGAATGGCTGGAGTCATTTTCCTGAGATAACAGACGCACGAGAAACTCTTGGAAAAGCGAAAGCTAGTCTGCAGATGATCGACAGTCCTAGCGATGTATACAATTTGCATTCACAACTCATAATAGAGAAACAAAGATTGCAATCGAAATATCAAGAAATGATGTTGCAGTGCCAACTCGATGATTTAATTGGTAATTCGGGGGTGGTATTTGATTTTGCGTTATTGAAACAAGCATTAGCTGGAATTCATACGGGAGAACCGATTATTTCCCAAGGAACGAGTAATGGTGGTAGATTACCAAATCATTTGGCGGCTTCACAAAATCCAATACTGTTCCTCGCAAATTATTGTATGTCGCAACTATATTCAAGACATGTAGTGAGTAAGCAACACATGCAAAACGGTTCTATAGAATATCATTCAAGTATGATGCAGCCGCAACCAGCTCCACCGGGTTCTGTTCATGTACATCAAGGTCCACCGCCGCCCACAACCCCGCAGCAACTTCTCATTCCACCTGGTTCGCCGTCCGTTAAACCTATTCCGCCCGCGCCTCCGAACACAATGTTACATCCACAACAACAATCAACGTTTATACCAGAAGGAGTTGGTACTGGTGGCGGAAGTTTGGTAACCGTCCACTCATCTTCTCAACCGCCGTCCAGCGGAATAGCAGCATCACTTCGAGGACCTTCGAACCCTTATCCTCTGTATTATTTCAATATTGAAGTAAATGGATCTCCACACGGCCGTATCGTAATAGAAGTGAGGCCAGATGCAGCGCCGAAAATGGCAAAAAATTTTAGTGTACTGGCAACAGGTGAAGTCGGAGTCGGCTATAAAGGTTGCACGATTTTTCAGTGCTGGGAGGGTGAATCCGTGATTACTGGTGATTTTGAATTAAACAATGGTCGCGGAGGAAGAAGCATATTCGAGGATGGGTATTTTATGCCGGATGACACAAAATTTCCTGCAGTAAGAGGAGCAGTCGGAATGCGGAGAACACAAAAGCGACATGATAATCTTGGTATGGTGGGTTCACAATTTCGTATAATATTACAAGAGATGCGCGGCTTCACAGGAATCTTTGGTCATGTTGTTGAAGGATTAGAATTAGTCGAAAAGATATCTACATTTGGCGATCAAACGGGCAAGCCTACGAAGAATATTCTAATTACGAAATGCGGTAAACTGTAACGATAACACTATTGCGATTAGTATACACCGAAGGGTAATCAAGTATTACCCGTATACTTTGCGTTTCCCCGCTCTAGATAACTTAAAAAAAAAAAAAAAAACAAAAACAAAAACAAAAAAAAACAAAAAAGAAAAAACAAAAAAAAAACAAAAAAAGAAAAAAACAAAAACAAAAAATAAAAAAAAAAAGAATTCACGAGTTCGCGACGGTATCTCTGAAATGTTCGATATAGGGAATGGGATGTTTAAATAAACAAAAAATTACGTATATATAATATCCGATGATAAATGATATTACATGTATAGAGACACCGTCGTGATCACATAGCTCCATGAATCACGATGCTCCGTATGAGTCACACAATTTAATTAACTATTAACAATAGAATTCTAAAGATGTTGAATCTATTTTTAAAAGTGGACGCATAAGAGAAGAAAGAAGAAATAAAGATCCATATTTTGCTATTGATTGAGAATCAATAAGATTCTGTATCTACAATAACGACGATGATCGATAATACGTACCTCAAGATCGATCGTGATATCGATACGACTTCTAGCTGTACGACATTTGTTTTAGAAGAAGTTCGACGTTTATTTTGGCTATTGGCATATTGCTATGTATAGTTGATATAGAGGGTATCGCACGGAATTAAAAAGTGCCGTGATTAACGGCGTCGCCCTGTGGGCGTTGCTAATGTTTTAGATCATAGGTAGTAAAAACAAAAAGAAAAAAAAAAAAAACGTGTAGATGAGGAATACGTACGAAAAATGGGGCAAACTTGTATGTGTATACACATACATTCATATATTTGTATAAAAAAAAAAAGAAAAAAAAAAGAAAAAAAAAAAAGAAAGCAAACAGACAAACGTACAGGCGAAAACTTTTTTTTTTGTTTTATAATCGAAAAAACATGACTTCGTAAAAGTCAAAAAGTCGTGATTCCATATACGCAGGTCGTTTAGAACATTAACCGAACGATACGTCGGTACGTAAAAGGGCCAATTTTATTTCGTCTGGTCAACGATCACGTATCGTTCCGTTCTTTTTCCAGAGGAGAGAAAAGGAGCTAAAAGGGAATAAGTAATTATGCGATGAAACGAGTCAAGGAAAATTGCGGTTCCTATCGAATGACTCAAGGATACTCCTCCCTTTTTGCTCTTTGCCATGGTCTAGTAGACCGTCGTAAATTAACTGTATTTAAGATTAGATCTCAACATGAAAATGTATGCAAGGCCTAACTACTACTATGTAGATTGTAAGCCTCGTCGTCTGATCAGAAAAAAACGAACGAAATGAGCGAATGTATATTATAAACGAATCATTCCTCGATGCTGTATATCGAAGTACTACGATAATGTAATGCGTTATACTACTCGTCTGAATCCTCGTAAAAATCCCATCGTTATGTATCATATTATCATGTACCCGTGTGCGAAAAAAAGCGTCGTAAAAAAAGTGTTCTGCAAACCGGCGCGTAAAAACAAAAAGCGCACTCACGTATTGTAGGAAATTGCACGCCCTCGTCGTCGCGAATGCCTTTTTTCGAAGAAAGCCTCATTCGATGTTGAACTTGAAAGTTTTAACACTTGTTAATTAGCTAATTCATCGTTTGCAATGTTATAAAGAAGGAAAATTCATTGCATTACGATGAATGTAAGAATCGCCGTTAGAATTAAATGATACTGCGTAATACGTACGACGATCGAAGGGTGGTCGAGCTCGAATGAATTTCTCTTGTTTCGGTCGTTGTGAAAAGAAAAAAAAACGAAAGACGTCAGTCGACATTTTTGAATCTAGGTGCGTATAAATTCATGTTTACCGAAGCGAGTGAAGCTAGAAGCCCACCTGTATACACAAAATATCCACGCGCGCGCGTGTATATATGTACATATATATATCTATATATACTATATATATGTATAAATGTATATGTATATATATATACACACTACATATATTTTTATGAACGTGATGAGGTAACAACGCATAGCTTGTAATATCAATTCTAACAACCGATTTACTTTGCCCCTCGCGTTCGAATTAAACGGTTGAGCGGCTATAATTTTTCGATAAGTTTTTCTTTCCACCTTTTATTTTTTTTTTTCTTTCTCTTTCCTGTTTCCTTTTCTTTTTCTATTCCTCATTCACCCTTTTTAAGTTAAGGCGTAATCATCATTACATACGAAAATTGAGGTCATTTTGTTTACAGCCTACGGAAACGCATATCCGTAGAGCACATGCTTAAACAGTTTTATTATTTCATTATACATGTACGAAGTTCGTTGCCCAATTTAAATGTACTTTTAATCAATCAATTTTGAGTTATAAACTGTTTCTCTTTCATTCGTGTATTTTATGCATACCTTTACCTTCCTTAATATTATTAGTATAAGATATAATTTAATGACATATTTTCATCATAACATATACATTCATGATCAATTTTAAAACTAATATTAACATCTTAATTTAAAGCAGAAAATTAATAAAAAAAGATCAATAAACTGCATGTACTCACCTTGTAGAAGACATCTGGAACATACTGTTTATCTGTTGATTCAATTACATAGCCCAATTCTGGCGCATCTTTTGTAGGAACCAAGCAGCCATCACGTACTAATGCCATGCATTGATTAGATACTTGATAACCTTCCATGTGAATTTGATTTTTCTCGTCACCTATAATCAATATGTATAATTTAGTAATTATAAATAATCCTTTCTTTATATTCTTTATATTTATATAATACTTTGATGCAAAATGATTTAATTATGATGTAATGGAAATAACTTACCAGTAACACAAACAGTAACAAACTTTGAACCAAAATAATTATTAGGAGAAAAACGACAAAGATTTGGATATTTATTTTGAAAATATCCAGCCATAATACATTCTTGAGCAGATAAAAAATGACTTTCTATATTTCGAACGTGTTTTACCTAAATAAATTAAATTAATGCTATCAATTAAGAATTTTAAGTTATGAAAAATAAAATAAAATTATAGATAAATTTACCGTTCCTATCTTGATATCATCAGCTATAAGATCAGTAAAAATCCATCCAATTCTTTTTAAATTAAGTAAATGAGCCAATTCATCAACTATTGTTTCCTTTTCATCTGGTAAAAGTCGTATAGAATTTTTTGTACTTTCCTAAAATATAATTAAATATATAATTACATTACTTATAAATAATGCATACTTATAGATAAAAACTTGATTTAAAGATTTAGATTAAAAGAATATTTATAAATACGATTATTATTATTTATTTTAATTAAATCACCTGTGGAGGCTCATAAATAGCTGTAACAACAGCTCTAATTCCTAATGGTACATCTGTATGTATTTCATATCTTCCATATAAAAATCCAATACGTTGATGACCTGTGCTACGCCAATAATTGAGAAAACGCTCAACTAAACTTGAATTTTCAAACATAACGTTGTCGACATGACGATAAGTTTGGCGATTTAGAGTAATAGAACTTGGTTGACATTTGCTACATATACCTCGTGGCCAAGGTGGATGATCTTTACAACCAGTCTTAATACGGCAGTTTATGTCATCTAATTGTATAAACTTCCCTCTATAAAATATGTAAAATGTTATTCTTTATTTTACATATAATGTAATATGAACATACCTATCAACACCAGCAGTGAGTTTCCTAAGATATGAATGAAATGATAAATGTTTTATATTTTGTTCTTTAAGATAAGCTTCATCAAAAGGTTCTAAAGGAGTACAATGAACACAGCATCCATTTGCACCATGTCTACAACTATTAAACAAATTATAATATATATAATCTAACCTTATATAAAAAAATTATTTATATATAGAATGTTAATATATTTATGATACTTTTGAAGAGTTAATAAAGATTAAAATAAATAATAAAAATTAGTATATTAAAATATTACTTGACATTTATTATTAAGGTATAAATAATTTGCTTTAAACAAGATGTAAAGTGAGATGTAAATACAACCACGAAATGAAAATAAAATAGTTTCATTCTATCTTTATCTTCATCTAATACAATTTAATAAATAATTTAACCAACATTTTTCTGTATCTACTTTTTTACTTTATGTTTTAAAAAATTTTTAAAATTATATCATGAATATATTAACATTTTATATATTCATTCATATTACATTCACTTACAGTTTTTCATCGCGTTTTCTTTGTATTTTACCATCAAGTTTCCATAATTGTTCATCAACATCCTCAATTGTATTTGATACAGATTGAGAAACATTAGTATGATTAATAGTTTCTATTTCATCCATTGGTCTTGGTTCTAATATTGAGTCAAATTTAATTTTTTAAAATATTAAATTAAAATAAGAAAAAATTAAATAATAAAATTTAATTAAAACCTTGAGAAATATCAATGGTGGCAGTACTAGTTGAGGGAGTACTCCACAATTGTGTATTATTTTGAGGAGTAAGATATAACATATCTCCATGAGAAAGACGTGTTCCTGAAACTGTTTTGCTATGGGAATATGGAAGTTCATCTTTATGATTTCGTTCTCTATAGAGTACAAATCCAGTAGTATTCAATTCAAAGGCTTTAGAGATCTAAAATTTTCAACAGTTAATATTTATATAATTATAAGTTATTATGTTATATTATACAATATAAATACAATATAAATATAATATATAAATACAAACCTTTTCATATACTAGAGAAATTGTATCAGAAAGATTTACATCTATACGTTTTGTCCCTTCTGAACATTGCACACGTAAAGTCTATAAAGAAACAAATATTCATAATTTTAAAAGAAAACATAAAAGAAGACTAAAAATCTTTCATTTTAAATATTAAAATATAATTGAATATCAAGAATTAATATCAAAAATATTATTTTTTACAATCATAATTTGTATATTATGTGATTTGTATATTAATATATATATTATATATAAATATAAAAAAATATTTTGTATTTAAATAAATTTAACATATAAAAATATATATATATATATATATATATATATATATAT